AGTCTGAGATTGTGATCACACTATCATTGGAGGAATGGGGGTGTTTAGGAGCCATGGTGAGTGATATAAGGCACCTGGTTTCATCAATTTCCACGTTGCTGAGCCACATTACGAGAATTTTTTTTTTGGCCGGGCCGTGCCGGGCCGGGCAGCTGAAAAACAAGGGGCCTGATCGGCGTAGTTTCTGATGGCCGGGCCGGGCCGGGTCCAAGCCTTACATAAGAGTCGCACACCCCTGACAACTGATGTGTCAGACACTTCCACCAATCCGTTTGACATGGCCAGATACCAACAGTTCGACGGTCCAAAGCGCTAAAACGCAACACGGCCCCTCGCTTCCTCCATTTGACGACCAAGCAGACTCTGGTGGACTCTGCCTTCCATTCCTAAATTGGCCACAAGACCACAGCGCATCCCCAAGGAATACCACGACACGGCCATTAATAATCCCCGATTGGCAAAATGACAATGTACATCTACCTATATCCTAGACAGCGCGGATCACGCCAAGACGATATACCCTCTCTGGTGAAAAAGTCACCTAACCGCGCCAATATCGACTCAGCCAGACTGGTAAAACCGCGATGCAAGATCGACTATCAACAAATCAAGGTGCTGCACAAGTCCACCATCGTACGACAGAGTATGTACTCGTATTTCATTAAGTTTCCAACCTCATCCGCCATTCTGTTTTATTGTGAATAATTTATTGATACCAATGACCAATTTATATTACCCCAAACTTATATACGCACGACGAATCAATCCACAAACGCACCTTACAGTTGCCATCAATCAACCATCTGGATTTTGCTGTGACGGTCCTCGCTGCAAAGATAAACCCACCCACTCTTCGCAATATTACAATCCACGACACCAGCCCAACAAGCCCTTAATAGGCGTTTCGGTATGATAACGAGGGATTTATTGAAAGCTAACAACAGTTACTAATGAGCAAATGTACTGCTTTTACCTCATACAGTGCCCCCTTGAACCAGGTAAGAAAGGATCATTCCGAACTTACAGACGACACGAGTACCTTCAAGACATAAGTCAGTTGAACGCCAATGTCCAGATTTCACTACCGTCCAATCACCAGTCGACCTCTACCACGGCCACGCAAAGTAGGAAAAGAAACGGCCAACATCTCAATCACACTATGTCCAACAACAAACGCTTGCGACAAGCTTGTACAGGTATCAATGGAGGAGGTCCTCATCTAGGAAAGGCCAAGCACGCCAACCGTCAATGCACATGGCATGTGTGCCCCGTCGTACGTTTTGTTATACCGTGTTTTCACAGCGCAATTACTTCACCAACGCATACTGACACAGTTTTGATGCAAACTTTAGTGCTGCTGTACCCAGCGTGAAGCCACAGGTGCTAAGTGTTACACCCATGAAAGCGGTGAGTGTGCTAAGGTTACCCCCAGCACTCAGCCTTTCCTACAAACCGTATTGGACACCGCCGATGAAAGAGGTCTCATTACGCAAGAAACGACGAATGGTGACTCGGCCATTGCAGACGTTACTGTGGCGGATCTACTAGGGCCAGCTCCTCCGGTGCATCCTTTAGTAATTTCATCAACTGCGATGTGTACATACCATCTCAATCGATCCAAGGAAGACAAAGCAAGACGTGCAACGGAGGCTGCAGAAGCCAGCTGCGATAGAAACATATCAATATCTCTCTGGATGACTGTACGTGTTTCATTTGTGTGATAGTGACAAGAATCATCATGAAAGCTAACAATGTTGCACCTAACAGGCCGAAAGCGAACCAATTCCCTTCCTGTTTGCACCCAAATCGATAAAGCAATATTCCATATCCGAATGTGAAGCTTTGATGATATTTTTACAAGCACAGGATCCCAACTGGAACAAGTTGCTGCGAGTTTACGACGTGAAGGCGGACAGATGGGTAAGCGCGCGTTCACATATTCCACTATTCAGCATAATACGAGTATGAGACTGATTTTACCAATCCAACACAGAACATCACGTTGGTTGGGACATCTATTCCTATGACGACCCCCCTCCGCGAGGCTCTTGTATGTTTGACTAATGTCGACCCAAAGATGTGCCTTGGAATGGCAGAGCTACAAGTACGACTTGTCCCAGCAGCCAGAACAAGCCTCAAATCTGTTGTCGACTCTCTGCGAGCCACGCCCACGCCGAACTCAAAACGTGTATCTACCAGTTTTGTATTGAGTCCTAGTTCTCACAAGTCGGCCACGATGTACAGTAGTTCCGAATCTTCACCAACACCGCAAATCACCTATTTGGGCTCTATTCAACGGCCAGGCGCAGGACAAATGTCAAGTTGTTATGGAAAACGGCAACCACCACCAACCGTGATAATCCACGACGAGGAAGCCACAACACTGGAGCCATTACCCCATACGCCGGAGCCTTTACCACATAAAGAGGCAAGGCGGCCAAATTTCTCTCGAAATATACTCAATGACATCTCCAGCTCTGTTCCACCTTGCATTACGCATCCGACACAAACAGCACAAGCAAATGCCTTATACGATTACATGTCAGACCTGCCTGATATTGATGAGGTCTTCTCGAACGCACAGAGTACGAATCAAATCAACTCTATATCTACTCCAAATCCCGACTTCAACATAACCGAAGGCGCCACTACGGAGGTACCTTCTCCAGCAGCTATACCTGCAGGACTTACACCTAGCCCATCGCCTTCGCCGCAACCTGCAGCAACCGCGGAAGTTGTGGCATCCACTTCTACGCGGAGGTCCAAGAACACTGGCCTAGTTAGCACCAAGATTTGGTTAATTGATGTCTGTCTAAATATTGACTTGATTTTCTGATTCAACAATAAACAGTGGCCACCGCCTGACATGCCCATGAGAAAAATGACTCAGTGGCACTTGGCGCATACAACTAAAAGTGGTAAGCGCGAAATTTGGGAATCATTCTTTTCGCCTGCATACAAGTGGGACCGTACTGCTATGTATCGATACATACAATGGATTAACAAGGTCTCGAAGGACCGCTGGGCTGATTGGTATGAGGAATGTGAGCGAGAGCAGGTAGAAGCTACTTCCGAAGCTGCGCGCAAAACCTTTGCTAGCGAATTGGAGGCCGCTGGGTAACTCTGACAGTTTTTCCGGAGTAACTTTTATACTCCCTTCCTATACATGTCGTGTGCCAGAGGTTGTTACGCGTTTCCTCATTTCCATTTGCCTCATTATTTGGGTCGTATGTTTCAATTCTCTTCTTGATATATCTCTCATTATCGAGTCATCGTTCACTTTTTATATTTTCATTATTCATACATTTTCATAAATATGATTTTATTTGTTTATAGTGTGATATAATCAAATCGTTTTTTCAGACCGTCCATTTTGGTCAAACAAATGATCGATGACAATTTAACAGTACAGTTAAATTGTCTTGATTGTTACGTGTCCGATATGCACCTTGCTGGCCTTTGGAGACGCGTTGATCTAACATATATAAACTCGCATCATGATTGAGTCATCGTTGTGTGTCCAACAACATGTGTACAACAACGTATAATGCATGAAAGGCAGCCGCAAGATTCCGGCATGCTCGCAATCATTAAAAATGTGTATAATTATACTATACAAAGTTACAATCCAGATTGCCTCTTATCATGATGCATGAAACACAAGGATGCATTTAGATATATTGACGCAGCGGATATCTACGTCGATCAGACATATTTTATTGTTTGTCTATAGAGACGTGAGTATCACCATTTTACGTTTGTTTGCCAAATAACTTTGTGCGTGATGTTGAAGAACCAAAAGAAACATATAGCCCGAGTTGGCCGCGATATAATAATAACAGACACATCCAACGTTTGTGAACAACGTTGGATATGATATGACATGGATTGTTGAGATGAGAACCAAATAAATAGTAGCCGACGTCACGGCGGTACAACAAACAAATATAGCACGTGAGCATCACGTACTGATTTGCGAAAATGGCTATCCACACCTGATCATCAGTCATAAAAGGTGTTCATCACGACTACGTTTGCACTTGTTCAACTTCACATTCATCCGATTCCTACTATATCATTTATTCTCTGCTTTATATATTTATCGGTTGCTATTCTATTTCACTATCACTTGTCCATAAATAATGGACACGAGACCCAATCGTCAACAATCCGAAGAGAATCCTATCATCATTCCAGATGAAGCGCTCCCGGAGGTTAAAGCAGGCATACCGCAATGCTACTGGTGTAACCTATTCGGACATATGCAGCCTCTCTGTCCATCTAGACAGGCGAAGCTAGCCCGGACTGCTCGACCGTACAGGGATTGGCGACGTGTGGTGGGGTGCAGAACCCTTTATAGTATCAACGTCTTGTGGCCATCACCGCCACCCCCAGAGGTGGCGCCGATCCAAATTGATCTAACTCAGAACGTTGCTGCCCTTGAGCAAGATGACACGTGAGTATCATCGCGCGTTTAGCTCTTTGTTCCGAAGTGTTACCTTGTTGTTTGATAAATATCTGACCTGCTTTGATTACAAAGTACTACCGCTGAGACCAATGGCGAAGTACTCGTCATACATACTGTTGTTGACGAAGTTCAAGTACCAGAGTAAGTCATAATGTTTCATTTGATCACGAACTTAGTTTGTTGGTAGGTAAACTGAGCCTTATTCAATTCAATCCATCCAGCGTGAGGAGCACCGGGCCTAATGGCGACACAGAAGTAGTGGGCTCTAACTTTGAGATTACCCAAGTTGAAGGGTAAGTACATAGATTGGAAGCAATCTAACTTGCTTCCTTCAGATTGATGACATTACTTTTATGTTCGACAGCACACCTGCCTACGTCGAGGTCGAGGCCGCACACGCTAGCTCTGATATTCAAGTGTCAGTTAATGAGAGCTGATGACTGACTATCATTCAATGACCTAACATATGCACTCCCCGCAGAACGCCTGTCATCGAGGATATCGTGGAAAATGTGGTATTTGGTCAAGCTGATGCTGGTATGTCCCAACTCATATACATCACGTTATAGATGTGAATCAGGTTGATCTCACGTTTTCACGTGACCGATACAGAACACCAGTCTTTCATATCGCCTTCCACCGCAACACACGATGGCGATGGTACAATAACTCAGGAAGTATTGAACGAAATAGTGTAAGTCATCATGGTGATTGATCCATCATTGACTTAGCCCTGACCTGACTTGATGCGCTCCTCAGACTATTTGCAGGAGGACCAGAGGGGGTTGATGTTATGAATTTACACGAGGATTTGTAAGTGCGCTATTTGTCAATCCTCATTATAAGGTATATTATCAACTTGCTAACATCAAGGTTGTAGACCTTCTCACAGTGACGCAGATGAGTTCCGAGGACGCAAAAGGGCCCGTATATCTTATGAATTCAACCAATCGGTTCGATCATCTGCGCGATCGCACCGATCGCACCGGTCGGCACAATCAGCACGTTCGAGATCATGTTCATCTATTTGGAGATCATATGAGTTTGAAGTATAAGTGCTTGTGTGGTATTGAGGTGTTGCTTACACGCCCCTGCTGAAACCAACCAGTGGATACTTTTGATTCAATGTATTTTTAAAAGGAATCACTTTGATGTAATTATTGCAACTTGCAATGATGCTCAAATGAGGTAAATTGAGTTATCATCTTAACAACTTGATCACATATGTGAAGACATGTTCAGCTTGCCGAAAGACTTCAAATGTCATCGCTTAACCCATGTGATAAGATATCAACTCACGCGAGAGTTTGCCAAAGTTGATATCATGGTTCAAAAATCCAATGGGCATTACTTATAATGCCCATTGGATTTTAATCCTTCCTTCAGAGATTGTGTAATAGGAAAGTATTTTATAATATACGAATATATTTTATAATTAATGCCCTACATCATCTCGACTTATTTATTGTCACACCAGTTTTCTTTTGATCATGCCACATCCCAGTCGCAGTGATAGTTCTAAAGTTGATGTTCACAACATGTTGTCACCTGTTGATCAAACACCTGCGACCAGCGATCGGTTCGATTCAGTACCTCCGATACTTCAAATTGAAAAGCCATCAACCGCAGGTGCCGGAGCCATAGTTGGCGCTGAAGATGTCGATGACGACGGGGTTTCTCAGTTCAACACCACGTCAAACACCGATACAAAGAATGATGTGACCAAAGCTTCACTTACGGAATCTGAACATTCTTCAGCTGCTGTAGTACCGTCATCAGCGCGATCTAAAGCTAAGGTCAGGGCTGTCCGTTATACGCGTCCCCAGGTTGAAGGTGAATACGCATCCAATGTAACGTATTTATTAGATTTAATTATTTAATTGACATACGTTAAATTTTCGAACTGCCATTGCCCGAATCAGAGGTGCCAGGTGCAGGCAGCCTGATGGTTGTATCTTGGCAAGTTCGCACTCAATCATTGAGACCAGATTATTCCTCCAGGCGCGCTGCATTTCTTTACCACTTAAATGGATTCTACGGCTACAACGGCGATTCCGATCCCATGAAACCTATTTACGAGCCAGACCTCACGACCTGGGTGTCTGAATGCATTGTAATTCATCAATTAGGTAGAGAGGTTGATATCTCGGGCTCAAGGGATTCAAATGAATGGGTTGTCAGGGAATTACAAGGTGACGGGGTGGACATGCCCTTTCGGGGAGTAGTCAGGTATCATGCCTTCTGGTCATCCACGGCCACCTCAGGTAAAGATTGAGCTTTGGAAATAGCCAATGGTCATATGTATGTGGCGCAAATGCTTAGAAGATTCAAAATGCGCCTTCAACGGTTGTGGCAAGGTCAACGTCTACCTGATTACTTAGCTGATCAACATAGCCAATGGTTTATACGCGCGGCGGCTTTGCACGTAAGTTCAATCTTAGAGTAAGCTTTTATTTGTTTACCTACATCTAACTGCCTGTTGGGTGTATGGTGGGATCCTCCAGGTTCCCCGAGTGTCTTTGTTGCAAACAATAGGTCAGCTCGAACCTGATGTCCCTCATTGGGTCTTGTGCGAATCAGCACAAGATGGACAACGTACTCGTTACATGTCTCTATCGTGTTTTAGGGACGCTTTGCCCGCTTCAGATCCTTGGAAGTAGCTGTTGTTTGCTTTTGTACATTATGCTTACCAGGAAAGTCGAGGTGAAACATTGATCAGTCAGATTGATTGTGACACATGGGGCAACATCTCGAACATAGTGTGTTTCAATAAAGGGTAAGCACGGCGTTTCCCTCCTTTCCCAACTGATCTTCAGGTGTAATACTAATGATTTTGGGACAGGTCTTACTATTTCGATAATAGTGATCAAATGGACACACCTTTTATGTTATTTAGAGGTGAACATCCGTGCAACGCAATCTGCACCGAGCTTCACCTTTCGGCCCTTAAAATATGAACTCATTAAATGCATAAACCTTTTCACATATATAATTATTAGTGTCAATTATGGTAAGGAAGATATTGAAGCTTCCGTTTTGTGTCAGGGTACGATGTTAATCAATGTTTTCATAGCTCTCCACTAGCTACTTTTCTTTCAAAATCTTCTACCCATCTTGTACCTTCATTGTAATCTTGTGCAGAATCTATCCTTTATGAAGATCGGTGATAAGACAGCTTTAATTGTATGTGGTAAACTCAGCACCTACCTCACCCGTGGATATGAATGCCTTCTGCCATCCTCAATTAATGCCTTCCTCAAATAAGTCACAGTGACGTCACGGGTAATTCCGAAAGGCCGACAAGTCATTATAAGTTTCCCAACTTTCGTTGGTTCTTCCATCCAACATCATCATATTGAAACTGTGTCCGGCTTTCAACACCTACACCACATCATCGACATGCACAACCCCGATACTAGCCTATTGGACGAAAGTCTTAAATCTGTCACTGTTGCTGGCGAAAGCGACATTAGTTTATCATCATCATCTTTGCCTGCCGATAACTCTGGCGATTGTGCGCTCAGTTATAAATCTTGCGCAGCCATATCGCCAGGTGACAGCTTGATCCACCGCACCCTCGATATAGACGATCATGATGATAGCATCATGAGTTCCAACGATATGTCGGGTGGTTTGTAATTTTGATGTATCACGTTTGTATTTTTGATACATGTGTTTGTTGATAAAATGGCCATTTCCTTAGAAATCATCACAGACGCATCTGGTAATGGTGTGACGGCGCGTGTGCCTTATTTCGAGAGATTAGAAAACTTAGGACTCAAAGCGGAAGGAACCCTCTACCGGCTCTCCGAACTACTGCCTGATCAAAAGGCTATTTTCACCATTTACAATCAATACGAACATGTTAACTACCTGGGAGACCGTGTCGCTTACAGCTCATTTCAATTAGTTGGTAGGTGCAATGGCGGCGATTGGGTTGTTTGCAAAATTTATGTACATCACAGAGAGAGCGAGATCCAAGGCCATCGATTCCTCAAGTTTCATATAGCTTGGTCGGGTATGGCATCTCAAGGACGGGCCTATTGTTTTGACCGCGCTCACAGCTTCCGATTCGCCGCTATGGCTTTGCATCAGTTCAAGAGGATGTTCTTCAAGAAGAGGCGAGATCATCATGGCAGGATTATTGATTTACATCAGAGATGGCACCACGAGTGCTTGGCTTTGACGGTGATTCATAATATATTGAGTATTATCTCGCTATTTTAATAGCAAGAATATTTCATTCAACTAATCCATGATTTATTTATGAACTTCTATAGATTACGCCGGTGCATATTTTGCAGTCTACGGGATCCACTTATGATGACGAACCACGATGGATGTTATGTGAGGGTGTAACCGATCAGTTTAGTCACGCATACGTGACCAACGAAAAGTTTAACAACCCGCCAGGTGAATATCAACGTTGGACCAAGATAGTTCAAGCGTTCATACATTATGTTTACGACCTCAGCAACAGCAACACTGTCATCACCAGTCTTGAATGTGACAAACATGGGAGGTTGAGCAACGTCGTATGCATCACTAAAAAGCAAGCGTTTCTACATTCTTTACGTATTGAATACACAAACTGACCATCAATAATCGGAATTATTTTTCAATTATCAGCAGCCCTCCTTACCACAGTCGCCACATTGCCGGAGTGGCAGAAATGGTCCAACAAGCTTTCATCCGCTTTCCTGATGAACATGTTTGCAACGAGCTATGTGAGCTCCTTGGAAACATAAGGATGGATTGATTATAATTCCATCGGGGCGTCAATTATAAAGCACGAATGCTTTATAACGCTGATATGTCATGCGCAGGTATGATCATAATTGGCTGCTGGTTTTTTATTTTTATCTTTTATCAGTTTGATTGTAACGTAGTGATCACCATCAGTATGCTCCGTTATTTATTTAATTTATTTGGTTACTATCTTTATGTACTTCCGCATGAAATCTCATCATTGTATATTAGTTAGTGCGACTGAACGCGAGTTTATTCTTTGGTGAATGAATAATACAAACCTGAGTTGAAAACAAGTGATCGGCTAGTTTTTGAGAGGTTGATCATGATGTCCACTACAATCATCAGATTTATCAAATGACATTCATTCTTTCATTCATTAGATTGCTGCGTAATCCTAAAACTATATATACAAAATATGATAAATCAGCTTTTATGTACATTTATTCAAATTTATAGCTCATCTGGTTAACATATTGTTCAAGTTACAATAATCATTGTATATTCATGTAGAGTTAGAAATCTGAGAAGGGAAACGTTTACATCGTGTACAACATATAAGCCGTCTTACATATATATCCTTCATGTGCGTGTGAATTTGATGACAAAATTTGTTCATATATAAAGAAAGAGAACCAAATTAACTTATCGAGTTTATAATAAAGAAGGTAAAATGACATTAATATTTGTTTATTACTATAAGCTTGGTGATGATGTGTAATAAGGGTGTGTGGAGATAAAACGTAAATAATTGATGCGAGATGTGATGATACAAGTGTGATTTATATTCACATTTGTAGTGGATACGGACTTTGTTGTGCAACATGTGATGGAACATTGCAGCAAAAGTTGGTCTTCTTCACAAGCTTGGTTAGCAGTGAGTCATTGCGCACACGGATCATTTCTTCCAGAAAAAAACGGTAGTTGATCTCATGCATACCTCGGCATATGGATAGGAAACCTCTGTACCATGCATTGGTGATTTCCGCTGCAGAGCCGTTGAAACGCCAGCTACCATCGGCTTTCTTGAGGAATGGCCAGCACTTTGGATCGTTGTTTTTCCGGCACTGAGTGTCTTTCTCAGAGTGAGTCCGCATGTGGAAGGGGTCGATGGGTCTGATAGTGCCTTTGAGTCTTTCCATTGCAGCGGGGTCCTTGCGCAGAGATTTGTCAAACGTGCAAGAGTTGTCGAAAAATTGAATCGGTGGTAGCACTGGGAATTTTCTTTCGAGGATTTCCTAATGTTAGAGATAGATATGTGCTTCATTAACAAAGGTCAAGACGAGTGGTTGCCAATTTGTAAACTCACTCAAACCAATATAACAGACTCCGCACGGTACATTGTCTCCCTGGCCAGGGTGATCCCACACGTGGCAACAAATAGCAGGTTGTTGTGTGTCTTGGCGTTTGAGCAGGTGGGCTTCTTGGTAACATTGGAGGCACGTATGGTATCTTCACCATCTCGGCCCGCTTTGTGGCTCCTGTCTGACTCATCTCGCTCAACCAAGGCGTCCAGATTGAAAGAATCGGTGTCGGCGTCTAGTGCGGCGGTAGGATCTTCAGGCAATTTGGCACCAGTTCGCTGGTTGAAAGCCAGCGCAGCCCGAGACCTCCGAGTCTTCTCATGTCAAATTTGAATAGCTTCTTGGTGTTCGGCTAGGTCGCATGCCTTCGTGTCGCCTATCGCGTCTCGGGTACAAGGTTGTGCGTGACACAGTTTGCCTAGAATGGGCGTGTGAATGGGGCAATACCGGTCTTTGGGGGTTTCGAGCATGACGGTGCAAGGCGGTGGGTTGGTATCAGAGGGGTTGATGGATGTAAGTTGCTCTTTTGTAGCGCTGCAGCGTGGATGACCTATGGTAATCCCGTCCATGGCGATCGCCCGAAGAGCTGGACAAAGATGTTGGGTAAGCTTCGTTTTGTCTCATAGCAATGATTGTGGTATTGTACTCACCCAAACCTCCTCCTGCTTCGTCAGGATTCTCAAGGATCTCCGTGCATTCCGAGCACATGTGATCAATATAAGGGTTTCCTTCAAGTTCCATCCACGTCAAGACGGTGAGCTTGGCCTCACGAAATCGGTGTCGCGATCCTCCAGAGTTAGATACACTCATCATTCGATTGCGCATGTTGAAATGTCGTAATAGGTGATTCAGGTCCAACGCCGTCGTGCAACAATGATCACTTAGCGTAGGCTTGAAAGTTTCGCCAACGAAGTGGTTAGGGGCTGCGTTCGAGAGCTGATGTGAACTATTGTAAATAGTCACTAAGTTGTATATCGATACACTGGTGTCGGAAAAAGGTTAATTCGGTTAGAGTGATGGGGTACTACATTTAATCTTTTCCTGTCACTTACTGAGCTAGTGATTGTGCGTGGTTGAAATAGTCCAGCAGCCGTACGGTCATAAAATAATGCATGTTGACTTGTATACAGTCAGGGTCTTTTCTGACCGTGTCTAAATAGTAGGTTCGATGATCCTTCTGCGAACAATACATGGCCCTATAGCTTGTTTTACATTCTAATAACAACCACTTAAAATGAACAATGCTGCTAACCTGAATTATTTCCTTGAACTGCTTTAAAGATAGAGGTGCTTACTTCGGCAATATGTCGTGTGGTGGCGAACTGACTTGACCCCATCAAGATCATATAGATAACCAGTGATAGGTTTCCGCTTTTCCAAAGTTTTACGTCCGAGGCCCTTGCAGTCTTCATTGGGGCATTCTTCTTGGTAGGGCGGCCAGAAGGTTCGTTCGGGAATGGAAAGTGCTCTGCCTTCACCGCTGAGGCCTTGATCACGAACTAGCGCAGAGGGTTCGACGTATGATGGGGCAAGCGTTGGGTATAAAACTGTCCATAGCACCTCCCACGTTCCGGGTACTACTGGAGGTCGGAGGACAGCGTTCAGGTATTCATACGGACCATTGTCTTTGTCTATTCTAATGGAGCCTTGGTTAATTTTCACAAAATGGCTTGCGACGGTGACAAATCAAAAAACATCTTGACCGTCAAGTGTGTCTAGCACGGCGGGAAATTCTGATAGCACTTCGTAGATCTGAGCCATACGCATGTTCGGAATTGATGGATGAGGTAGGTGCGATGGATGGGTAGTCGCTCCCACTGAAAGAGTGATTCCGCATTGGAAAGGCTGCACTGCCGTCTGGGAGCAACGGGGAAATCTCTTTTTTCTTTCTTTTTTTTCTTTT